CACAGTTAAGGGGTTAGTAAGGAATGTTTTATCCAATTTCTATAGCTTCTTTATTGCTAGTTTTATATTAGTAAAATGTGGAAATTGTTCATAATTTTAAAGTAGTCAGTTTTTAAACGCAAACAGTTTGAGGAAAATGCTGTTGTGTATTTTTTGCCACTGTGGTTGTTTTATTTCCTCTCATGACTTTGTATAAGGGTTAAATTTTTTTGTACTCTGTATGCCTTCTTCTGGGCTTATGCATAATTTGTTTTAGACTTACTGAATGGCACTTTCTTTAATCAGTACAAAGTTCTTACATTTTCAGACATACTTATTTTATGGTATTTTTTTTTTCTAATGTGTTGGCCATTTCCCACCAAGGCAGGGTGACCCAAAAAGAAAGAAAAAGCCCAAAACGAAAGGAATAAAAAACTTTCATCGTTCAATACCACTATCATTCATACATAGAGTTTGTTTGTTTTTAAATACGTTGGCCTTTTCCCACCGAGGCAGGGTGACCTAAAGAGAAAGAAAAACCCCAAAAGAAAGAAAAAACTTTCATCATTCAACACTTTCACCATCACTCGTACATAATCACTGTCTTTGCAGAGGCACTCAGATACAACAGCTTAGATGTCCCTCCAAATTGCCAATATCTTAAACCCCTCCTTTAAAGTGCAGGCATTGTACTTCCCATTTCCAGGACTCAAGTCCAGCTAACTGGTTTCCCTGAATCCCTTCACAAAATATTACCCTGCTCACACTCCAACAGCTTGTCAAGTCTCAGAAACCTTTCATCTCCATTCACTCCTATATAACACGCTCACGCACACTTGCTGGAAGTCCAAGCCCCTCACCCACAAAACCTCCTTTACCCCCTCCCTCCAGCCTTTTTGGGGATGACCCCTACCCTGCCTTCCTTCCCCAATTGATTTATATGCTCTCCTAGTCATTCTACTTTGTTATACATGTATTCTCTCTAAATGAACAAACCACCTCAACAGCCCTTCTTCAGCCCTCTTGACTAATATTTTTAGTAACTCCATACCTTTTCCTAATTTCCATACTATGAATTCTCTGCTTAATATTTACACCACACATTGCCCTTAGTTACATCTCCACTGCCTCCAGCTGCCTCCTTGCTGCAACATTTACAACCCATGCTTTACACCCATATAAGTGTGTTGGTACCACTATACACTCTTATACATTCCCTTCTTTGCCTCCATGGATAACGTTCTTTGTCTCCACAGATACCTCAATGCACCACTCACCTTTTTTTCTTCATCAGTTCTGTGGTTTACCTCATCCTTCATAAACCCATCTGCTGACAAGTCAACTTCCAAATGTCTGAAAACATTCACTTCTTCCATACTCCCTCCAATGTGATATCCAATATGAAATAATGAGAGTATGTAAATACACCTGTTTGTACTGGCATCCTTTTATGTTTCCTCACATTTTGCTCTATTCTCTGTATTCCATCTTCTGTGCAATCTGTTGTTCTTTATTCATTAATTTTCTATACATTTCTGACTTATCTAGAAACTCTCCCTCTCATTTTTCTGCTTGCTATTTTCTAGGTTCTGTATAATCAGAAATTAATGATGAGTGCAAGAAGTATAAGTGCAGCTGACCCTTGCTAAATAACCCAAATAGAAACCAAACAAAATGTATAAATGAAAAATGCATTTAGCAAATCACCTTTTCCTATAAACTCCCACATTATAACATGTGATGCAGACCAGGACAATAATACTTCATATTCAGTCCTGTAAAGTAAAAGGACACAAGTGCAACTGATGTGACATTTTATTGTGGCAACGTTTCGCTCTCCAGGAGCTTTATCAAGCCATTACAAACAATACATGGACACAGAGGGTATATAAAGGCTCAGAGTGAGGTGCAATACTAGTGAGGTACCATTTCGATGTTCACTAGTGGTAGTAGTAGTAGTATGTAGTAGTAGTGACAAAAGTAATACAATATAGTAGAGCAGTTAATTCGTACATGAGTAAAAGCTATTACTTGGGTAACATAAAAATAGGTTGGACAAATATAGACTGGAAAGAGGCAGCTTGTTTCAGTGTTCACTCTCTGTAATGTGCTTTGTGTAGTATAACAGGAGAGACTATGTGATGGCAGGGTTTACTGTTTTCAGGAAAACAGAAAACAGTAAACCCTGCCATCACATAGTCTCTCCTGTTACACTACACAAAGCACATTACAGAGAGTGAACACTGAAACAAGCTGCCTCTTTCCAGTCTATATTTGTCCAACCCATTTTTATGTTACCTAAGTAATAGCTTTTACTCATGTACGAATTAACTGCTCTACTATATTGTATTACTTTTGTCACTACTACTACATACTACTACTACTACCACTAGTGAACATCGAAATGGTACCTCACTAGTATTGCACCTCACTCTGAGCCTTTATATACCCTCTGTGTCCATGTATTGTTTGTAATGGCTTTATAAAGCTCCTGGAGAGCGAAACGTTGCCACAATAAAATGTCACATTAGTTGCACTTGTGTCCTTTTACTTTACATATTGTCGGTAATTCTACCAACTTTATTATATTCAGTCCTGTTACTTTATGAGAAGGAAGGAAGGCGGGGTAGGGGTCGTCCACGAAAAGGTTGGAAGGAAGGGGTAAGGGAGGTTTTGTGGGTGAGGAGCTTGGAAGTTCAGCAGGCATGCATGAGCGTGTTTGATAGGAGTGAATGGAGACGAATGGTATTTGGCACCTGACGATCTGTTGGAGTGTGAGCAGGGTAATATTTAGTGAAGGGATTCAGGGAAACCGGTTATTTTTACATAGTCGGACTTGAGTCCTGGAAATGGGAAGTACAATGCCTGCACTCTAAAGGAGGGGTTTCGGGATATTAGCAGTTTGGAGGGATATGGTGTGTATCTTTATACGTATATGCTTCTAAACTGTTGTGTTCTGAGCACCTCTGCAAAAACAGTGATTATGTGTGAGTGAGGTGAAAGTGTTGAATGATAAAAGTATTTCCTTTTTGGGGATTTTCTTTCTTTTTGGCCGTCTCCCACCCTGCCTAGGTGGGAAATGGCCGACTTGTTTAAAAAAAAAAAATATGCACTTTACTCTTGGGAGACTGACTTTCCTCTCCCCCATTCCCTTGTTTTCCCATTCCTATTACCTCCATCTCTCCCAGCTGAATGGAGCTGGGAGAGATGTCTTTTTCTTGCAAATACTTATCAAAGACATTTGTAGAGATGCTTCATGATGTCGGAACAGCTGCTAATGAGGCTATTTGACTTCAAAACTCGAAAAGGCAATGAGAAAGCTCTCCTTGGTGTGATTGTCATAAGTAATGTGCAGCAATGAGCAGTAAAAATTCTCTGAAATATAACTAGATTCATTTAATCTTTTTATTGAGACTAATGAAAATACACTTGTTCAAACATTGGAGTCTAACGGAAATCTCTGTCAAGGATATACAACAAAATGCATTATAGAAAATTTGTTTGTTTATTTATGGAAGGAATGAAGGTTGTATAAACACTATCTGTATGACCCTTTCGGGTGTAGTGCTTGGTTAGGCTTATAATGTATAAATGCTGTATGTTACAGATTTGAAGAATAGTATTCTGTCTTTAAATTTATATGAAACATTTCTCTAATTAGTTTTGTTTAACACATTTCCATTTTTCCCATTAATGCACATTCACCATCACTTGCTGCTTAGCTTTATTTTCAGAAGGGTACAGACAGTGTGTTCTCTTGATGGTTGTTCCCCTTCCCCCTTTCCGTACCTCATTCCCTATCCTCCCCAAGTTGGGTCAGCTGTCTGTTGTGGGAATGATTGAGTTGATTTTGGTTAGGAAAAGATTTTTCCAAAGATGAAGAACCCAGCATTTCTTTTGATTTTAATTGTGAGGACAATTCTCCAGTCATCAAAATTTGGATGGCAACTCAATATGACTGACTTGGGGATCTTTGAAATAGATCGATTTTGTAGACATTGGTTTATGAACTGTGAATTTTTCACCTCCAATTCTTCCCATGGAATATTAGACTTGTTGCTTTTGACATGGACTGAATTTTGGAATATGGTGTTTAGAATGCACATCAATAACATTGGCTTGCGTATTTTGACATAAAGGAATTGCAGACTATGGTTTATGGCCTATAAGAAATTATGAATGATTCTATTGCTTGCTAGTTTTTTGTGATAGATTTTGTTCATCTGCTTTTCTCTAAGACTAATGTTTGTTATTTATGACAGATTTTTTTTTGTGAAGGATGCAGTGCTTTATTAATAATAGCACCTTAGTACTGATATTGGTATCAGTGATTGTTTAGTCATGTAAAAAGGAGCATGGTAAAGAAGTTTTATAAATATAGGATGGATAGAACGTGCAGGTGACATGAGGAATAGCTGAAGGGAGAGTTTGAAATTAGGTATTGGGAGGTAGGGGCCTGCACATTCAGCAGGCACAATGGATTTTTGTTAGACCAGAGTGGAGGTGGGTGGTCTATGATATTTGGTATACTGTTGGAATGTGTGCAAGGTAATACTGTATTTATGAAGGTGCTCTTCGATACTGGCTAGTAATTTTTTTTTTTTATTTTAACTAAACGAGGAAATACAATGCTTACACTCGAAAGTAGGTGAGGATGGTGAATGTTTCTTTTTTGGATCACCCATCCTTGGTGGGAAATTCTAATAAAATCACATTTTTATCTTTAATATCTATCTATTTACTTTATTGCATTGTTTTAAAACATTCATCTTAATACAATGATTAAGCACTAAAACCACTACGGTATTCAGTGATCTTCACCAAATTTTCCTGAGCTTGTAATAAGTATTAAAGATGTTTAAATTATCTGTTTACTTTTGTAGACTTTTTTTTTTTTTTTTTTTTTTTTTTTTTTGTGAAATGGAAAATTATGACCTTGACAAATAATTCAGCAGGTTAATAAATGCAGATGTTATAACTTGCTTGTTACTTTATTTGATGTACCTATATTTACATTTTAGCCATGTTATGTGAGGAATTTATGACTAACAGTGGGTCCCAACTGACAATCCACGGGCTGTTTGAGCTAGGGTCTGCTCTAGAACGTGAAGAAATAGCTGTTCTTTTTCGTAACAATCACTTTTCCACCATATATAAGAGAGGGGTAAGTGTTTTGCTAACAAAGTTGGTCTGTTATATACAGCAATTACTATTTTGCAAATCCATTATTTAAATATACCAATTGCCCTATACATTCATTCAAAAATTTGAGTATGTCAGTAATGAAATATATGTTCACAGGACCAGCTATACCAACTTCTAACTGATCAAGGTTTCCTGCATGAGAATATGGTTTGGGAAACACTTAATGATGTGGATGCCACCTTCTCAGAGTTTGTAAATGGAATCTTTGAGCCTATCCCTCCAACTCCAGAACCAACTTCATCAACAAATGGTGCTCAGAATATGACCATGCAACAGCAGATTAGTTCAGAGTAAGAATAAGTCTGTTAATAGTGATATCTGATTACCAGTAGCATTACTGTGTCAATCCCATTTTCACAGGTTACCTTCTCGTTACTTTATTCAGTCTCGCTTTTAATTTTCTCGTGTCCAAACAAATTTAGGCAGATAGTGCTCTTTTCTTCTTTTTGTTTTTTATATGTCTACTATTTTAAAAAAAGGGCATTGTGGTACAGTATATGGTACTAATGCTTTTTATTTGTATTTTTATTGATGGTTTTCCAACTCTTAATTTTCTTTGGTATTCTTTTCATAAATTTGTGTGCTTATAGCTAAGTACATGTTGATAGTATCTCTGGGTGGTTGTGGGTTTGCCATGAGTTCCTGGAAATTGTTCATAATATGAGTGTTCAGAACTCACATTTTCCCAGTCACCAATGTCATAATAAAAAATGCATTCCTGAGTCATAATATTTTGTATTTAATGAAATTTATTAATTTATTGGACACGCAGCAGGCATGTGTGAGCATGTTAGATGAGAGTGAATGAAGACAAATGGTTTCTGGGATTTGAGGAGCTGTTGGAGTGTGATCAGGGTAATATTTTGTTTAGAGATTCAGGGAATCCGGTTAGCCAGACTTGAGTCCTGGAGGTGAGATATTAGCTGTTTGGAGTGACATCTAAACTGTCATATCTGAGCACCTCCTCAAAGTCAGGGATTGTGTGTGAATGATGGTGAAAGTGTTGAATGATGGTGAAAGTATTTCTTTCTTTTTTGTGGTCACCCTGCCTTGGTGGGAGATGGCTGATTAGTTAAAATTAAAATGATGTGTAGTATTCAGGTGAATCCTCATTCTTTTCCTCCTCTGTCTCTATCTCCCTCCTTCCCTAACCTTCCTCTGCTTCTTGAATTCCCTCCATTTCCCTATTCATTCCCAGATAGATATACATATAGATATATAGAGAGAGATATATATAGAGATAGATATAGATGAAGGGGGAGAGATAGATAAAGAGATAGATTAAGACTACCTAATGCATCAATATAAAATTTCTGCCATTTTCTTATTGTGCTTACTGTATTGATAGTTTCAGGAGCAGTGCTATGCTCAAGGCCTTAATTTCAGTACTTAGTTTGTCATATAATTGTTTGACAGTTGTGTTCACATTTTCCTCAGATCTCTCAACAAGATCATTTTGAGTACGTATTTTCAATCTTCATCTCATTTTATATTTTTTTCCTTTTTTTTTGTGTGGACACTTATATAAGGGGCATATTACTACTTGTCCTAGGTAGTAGGTTGGTAGACAGCAACCACCCAGGGAGGTACTACCATCCTGCCAAGTGAGTGTAAAATGAAAGCCTGTAATTGTTTTACATGATGGTAGGATTGCTGGTTTCTTTTTTCTGTCTAATAAATATGCAAGATTTGAGGTACGTCTTGGTACCTCTACTTACATTTAGGTCACATTACACATGCATGTACAAGCATATATATAAACACACCTTTTTGAGTTTTCTTCTGTTTTTCTTACTAGTTCTTGCTCTTGTTTATTTCCACTTATCTCCATGGGGAAGTGGAACAGAATTCTTCCTCTGTAAGCCAAGCGTGTCATAAGAGGTGACTACAGTGCCAGGAGCAAGGGGCTAGTAACCCCTTCTGTATATATTACCAAATGTAAAAGGAGAAACTTTCGTTTTTCCTCTTGGGCCACCTTGCCTCGGTGGGATATGGCCGGCATGTTGAAAGAAAGAAAGAAAGATTATTATTTGTGTCTGAAGGATATTTTGAAATTTATTGGTGTAACTTGTGAGTTTTTCAGTAGTGCATTTATGTGATTGGTGATAATTTTTTTTTCATATAGTAATTACAGTGCTCTTGGATCACTCTGTCATACTTTCATCACACTATCACGTTGTATTCTTTATGTGGCCTGTTATTGACTTTTCCATTTTCATTACCAGATGACCCTTATGGTCATCTCCCACTGAGGTAGGGTGATTAAAAAAAAAGGAAACACATTCTCTGTCATTCATTCAATCACTGTTTTGCCAGAAGTGTGCTGGCATCTCAGTTCAGCTGGCCATCCAGACTGCAGTATCCTTGCTTCTCCTTTTGAGTGCAAACACTGTGCTTGATATTTCTCTTGTGTTAAATTTAATCATCCATTACTAAATTAGTTCAGCATATCCAAGTCTTCTTATTGGGACTTGCAGTTAATTTTATTTCTTATTATGTATTGGATTTTTTGCCTATCCCTCAAACATAGGCATTCATACAAGTGAATCATTTACTGTATATTACTTGGAATTATTCATAGAACAAGTACTCTACTGTTTCTTATGGTACTCCACTAATGACATTTTCCTTGATATTACTGTTCTTGTTTTTCCTTTTTAACCCTTTCAGGGTCGAGAGGCCCTCTCCTAAACTTGTTCTCAGGGTCGAAAATTTTTCTGAAAAAAAAAAAAAAATTCTTATGAAAAGATAGAGAATCTTTTCCTGATCATAATGACACCAAAAGTATGAAATTTGATGGAAAACTTACGGAATTATGCTCTCGCGAAGTTAGTGATCTCGATGATGTTTACACATCGACGATTTCGCCCACTTTGAGCCCTATTTTCAGCCAGTTCCAGAGTACTAGTCGACAGAAATCATAACTGTTTCGCTACAATTCCATATTTTCTATCGAATGTGTACAAGAAACCACCCATTTACCGATTTCAACTATCCAATAAAGTGGTCAGAAATTAGCAATTTTGCCAATTTCACACAAATTTCAAAAGATGCCAATTTTCAAATAGGGTCCAGAATAAACTAGACAGACATTCCTGGCACTAAAATAACATTTCCTCTGTTCATTAGTAAGGCCCCTCTTACATTTCTTTTGCTTTCCACTTTGAATTTTTATTCTCATAAAAAACAGAAGACTTGCTGTTATGCAGACTACTGCATTAGTGTAGAAATGGTATAAGTAATATCAGCACACTTGTGAAAGAATATCAGACTCACCAGTTGACGTGTATTGTACGCGTGGCATGATTTGTTTACTTTTGAACTTTGGCAAAAATCGAACATTCCTGCTACTTTGAGACCAGGAAAACTAGAATACAGCATAAATGCCATACGAAAATAGTACAGTGCAAAGTCACTGTTTTAAACCAAAAACACGGTCAGTTTTTTTCTCATTACGCACAGTGTGCTGTAGGATTTTTTATAATGTGCACACTGACCACATAGACCCATTCTTTCATATGTAGGCCTACCAGCTCTCTCTCGCTGGATTTGAAGACGCTAGAATTTAGGCGTACTAGTACGTCAATAACCCTGGTGTGTAAGCTGTACTAGTACATCGGAAACCCTGAAAGGGTTAAACAAAATTTCTTGGGTGTTGTAAATATTTTCCCTATATTTCTTGTATATTTTGTAGTTCCTGAATCAGTCTTTCATTGGAAACTGTATCAAAAGATTTTTTAGAAATCTGAAATCATGCTCTCCTGAGACATTTTTGTGGAACGCATCTGTCACAAAGCAGATAGGTATGGGTTACATGGACATAGCACTCACATGGAGAAACAGTTTGGTGTGCCATAGTATACATTTTTATACACTCTGTGATCCACTTATACATGTCGTAAATCTCGTATATCACAGTACGTATATCACAACATTGTTGTCTTTTCTACAGTTTCATCAGTTAATTTGTTTTTTAGAAAAAAAATAATTCAGATGAGTGTGCAAATAAAGCACATATTAAGATACAGAATTAACTTAAAGATTTTTCATTGAGTACTGTAAAAAAAACTCTAAATGCGATATCTCCCCTCTCATACAGTACGTGTTTTCGCAACTTTTTCCATTTCGGATAATCATTTAAAACTAATTTCCGTACAGTTTTCAGAAGTTGCACATAATATTAAACTTTTAACTGTTGATTATTTAACTGTAAATCACTTAAAACAGAATTGTTTTCACTACAGTATTTTGTAATTTGATGAAACTATTCAGTCAACAGTTGGCAGCAATGCTTCAACATGAAGTGGATTTACAGCAGCGTCAGCAACAATCCTTTGAGCGTTTGAAGGATTCACTTGGCCTACACAATATGTCAGAGTGAGTGCTCTCTTCAACACCATTGTCTCAAAGAAAATCAAATACAGTACACTACTGCTTTACATAAACAAGATTGTCTCTGTACAGAATATTTTATATACTGTGCAGTGCCTTGATACATATATTCTTCAAAATTTTTCCTACTCAACTGAAGGTTGTGTAGCAGGGATTGTAATGAATTTTCTTTGGTTATGGAATATTGCCTGACATTCTTCCTTTTTTCTTTCTCATTTTCTAGCCATTATTGTTACTAAGAAAAATGTTTTGTAATAATTTCTTGCTTTTTACTTAGTGAGGAAATAGCCAAGAAGTTGCAGGAGGAAGAGAATCGGTTAGCGGCCGAGGCTGAGGCTGAAGCTAATGCCCCACAACAGACTACCACAGTTCCACCACCACAGACGCACCATCCACCCCAGCACCCTTCACATACACATGAGGAGAAAAAGAAAAAGGAGGTAGGCTCTTAAAACAAGGAGACATTGTGTGCAGCATCTTCTTGTAACCTCTGAAGTTAGGCATAAATTTAGATATATACCTTTGGAAGAACAGGACTCTAATAGGTGAATGATAAGTGATTTTGATAATACTGTGTTTTTAGGTTTATAAATTATAGAGGGGTTTGGGATATTGGCTATTTGGAGGGACATCTAAACTGTCGTATCTGAGTGCCTCTGCAAAGAGAGTGGTTATGTATGAATGATAGTGAAAGTGTTGAACGATGATGAAAGTTTTTACTTTCTTTTTGAGTTTTTCTTTGTTTTTGGGTCACCCTGCCTCGGTGGGAAATGGTCGACGTGTTAACAAAAAAATTATAGATCTCCCTTGCTTTGTGTGATACATATATTTCAGGCCTATGGGACTTCTGAGCACCATTCAGGGTAGAAGACTTTGCTATATTCTGTGAAGCCTTCACTTGTTTTTTGTGAAATATGCTGAGCGCACAAGAACAAATTTATATTGCACATTACTGGTAGAAATAGAGTCTATCACGTAAAAGTAAATTTACATATAACAAGCTTACATCAAGTGAGGGATTACTGTGCACTTGTCGTTTTGTGCAATGGAATGATTGTTGAAGTTGTAATGTATGGATGTGAAACACTGATATGGCATGAGTATGACAGTGACATGTCCACTCCAAAATATTTGAATACATTCACCTCCTCCATACTCTCTCCCTCCAATCTGATATCCAAACTTTCATTACCTAATTTTTTGTTATCCTCATCACCTTACTCTTTCCTATATTCACTTTTAATTTTCTTCTTTTATATACCCTACCAAACTCATCCACCACCCTCTGCAACTTCTCTTCAGAATCTCCCAAAAGCACAGTGTCACCAGCAAAGAGCATCTGTGACAACTCCGACTCTGTGTTAGATTCTTTATCTTTTAACCCCACACCTCTTGCCAACACCTGAGCATTCACTTCTCTTACAACCCCATCTATAAATATATTGAACAACCATGGTGACATCACACAGCCTTGTCTAAGGCCTAATTTTACTTGGAAATAATCTCCCTCTCTCCTACATACTCTAACCTGAGCTTCACTATCCTCGTAAAAACTCTTTACTGCTTTCAATAACCTACCTCCTATTCTATACATTTGCAATATTTCCCTCCTATCCAAATCCATAAATACCACAAAAACCTCTTTACCCTGATCTAAATACTGTTCACCTATGTTTCACTGTAAACACGTGGTCTACACACCCCCTAGCTTTCCTAAGGCCTCCTTGTTCACCTGCTATCTTACTCTCTATCTTATTCTTAATTCTTTCAATAATAACTCTACCATACACTTTACCAGGTATACTCAACAGATTTGTTCCCCTATAATTTTTGCACTCTCTTTTGTCCCCTTTGCCCTTATACAAAGGAACTATACATGCTTTCTGCCAATCCCTAGGTACCTTACCTTCTTCCATACATTTATTAACCCTTTCAGGGTCCACAGGCCCTCTCAGAGACTTTTGTTCTCAGGGTCCCCCAAATTTCAAAAAAAAAAAAAAAAATTTTTTTCTTATGAAAAGATAGAGAATCTTTTCCCGATCATAATGACACCAAAAGTATGAAATTTGATGGAAAACTTAGAGAATTATGCTCTCGCGAAGTTAGCAGTCTCGACGATGTTTACACATCGGCGATTTTGCCCACTTTGAGCCTTATTTTCGGCCAATTCCAATGTACTAGTCAACAAAAATCATAACTGTTTCGCTACAACTCCATTTTTTCTATCGAATGAGTACAAGAAACCACCAATTTACCAATTTCAACTATCCAATACATTGGTCAGAATTTATCAATTTTGCCAATTTCACACAAATTTCAAAAGGTGCCAATTTCCAAATAGGGTCCAGAATAAACAAGAAAGACATTCCTGGAACTAAAATAACATTTCCTCTGTTCATTAGTCATGTCCCCAGGCCCCTCTTATGTTTCTTTTGCTTTCCACTTTGAATTTTTATTCTCACAAAAAAATAGAAGATTTACTGTTATGCAGACTACTGCATTAGTGTAGAAATGGTATAAATAATATCGGCACACTTGTGAAAGAATATTAGACTCACCAGTTGACGTGTATTGGATGCTTAGCATGATTTGTTTACTTTTGAGCTTTGGTAAAAATCGAACATTTCTGCTACTTTGAGCTCAATTTGTGAAACGCGATTATTGGTAATGCTGGTAGCGGGGTGTAAATAATAAACGTCTTCGGAGGCTTCTTTGTTTATTTGCAAAGTCGTGGTGGGTACATAGGCTTGTGTGTTGTGCCCATGGCCCAGGAGGGCCATCCCACGAGAGGGAGAACTAGTAGGCCTTCTGTCTTGCTGCTTGGCCACTGTGAGAGTTGAGAGAGTGTGGGCCCAGCATCCCACAGACCTGGAGCAGGCCCAAAGGGCAGCACCTTAATGGCGCAAAATATGAACTAAGCTGGCAGACAGCATAGGCTGTCTGTGCAGACAGTACAGGCTGTCTACAAATTTCAAGGTACTTTTCATTGTAAAACCAGTCAAAATCATCTCAATTTCTGTAATATGTCTTCCATTCTTTACAATGAGACCAGGAAAACTAGAATACAACAATAAATACCATATGAAAATATAGTGTAAAGTTGCTGTTTTAATCCAAAAACACGGTCAAAGTTTTTTTTTCTCATTACTCACTGTGTGCTGCAGGATTTTTTTTACACTGACCACATAGACCCATTCTTTCATATGTAGGCCTACCAGCTTTCTCTCACTAGATTTGAAGGCACTAGAATTTATGAGTAGTAGTACGTCATGGACCCTGGTGTGTAAGCCGTACTAGTATGGCCGAAATCCCAAAAGGGTTAAAGAAAAGCACCAACCACTCGAAAACTATATCCCCACCTGCTTTTATCATTTCTATCTTTATTCCATCAATCCAGCTGCCTTACACCCCTTTCATTCTACCCACTGCCTCACGAACTTTCCCCTATATGAAACTGGCAAACAGTGGTGGGAGTGATGTCAGTTTCATCAGTACCACAGTTACCCAATTTTGTCTAAAATTGGGTTAGTTTGTTCACTCTCCATTTAATTAGAATCATTTAACAACTGTAGCTACAGTTAGAGTAAGAGGTAGATGGGACAAAAGGAAAATGGCAAAAACAAGTAAGAGAGAAGTGAAAGTGTATTAACTAAGGGAGGAGGAAGTTCGGGTGAGATATAAGCAACTATTGGCAGAAAGGTGGGCTAGTGCAAGTACATGTATGAGTAGTGGGGGGTTGAAGAGGGTTGGAATAGTTTTAAAAATGCCATATTAGAGTGTGTGGCAGTAGTTTGTGGCTATAGGAGGGTGGGTCCAGGAGGAAAGAGGAGTGATTGGTGGAATGATGAAGTAAAGGGTGTGATAAAAGAGAAAAAGATAGCTTATGAGTAGTTTTTACAAAGAAAATGTGTTATAAGAAGAGCAGAGTATATGGAGAGTAAAAGAAAGGTGAAAAGAGTGGTGAGAGAGTGCAGAAGGTGAGCAGATGATAGAGTGGGAGAGGCACTGTCAAGAAATTTCGATGAAACTAAGAAAAATTTTGGAGTGAAATGAACAAATTAAGAAAGCCTAGGGAACGAATGGATTTGTCAGTTAAAAACAGAGTAGGGGAGTTAGTAAATAGGGAGATGGAGGTATTAGGTAGATGGCGGGAATATTTTGAGGAACTTTTTAATGTCGATGAAGAAAAGGAGGCGGTAATTTCATGCACCAGCCAGGGAGGTATACCATCTTTTAGGAGTGAAGAAGAGCAGGATGTGAGTGTTGGGGAGATGCATGAGGCATTATGAAGAATGAAAGGGGGGTAAAGCAGCTGGAACTGACGGGATCATGACAGAAATGCTAAAAGCAGAGGGGGATATAGTGTTGGAGCAGTTGGTATTTTTGTTTAATAATGTATGAAAGAGGGGAAGGTACCTAGGGATTGGCAGAGAACATGTACTGTATAGTTCCTTTATATAAAGGGAAGGGGGACAAAAGAGATTGTAAAAATTACAGGGGAATAAGTTTTCTGAGTATACCAGGAAAAGTGTACCGTAGGGTTATTATTGAAAGAATTAGAGGTAAGACAGAGAGTAGGATTGCAGATGAGCAAGGAGGCTTTAGAGTGGGTAGGGGATGTGTAGATCAAGTGTTTACATTGAAGCATATATGTGAACAGTATTTAGATAAGGGTAGGGAAGTTTTCATTGCATTTATGGATTTAGAAAAGTCATATGATAGAGTGGATAGGGGAGTAATGTGGCAGATGTTGCAAGTACAGGAAGGCCCCGCTTTACGGCATTTCACTTTACGGCGTTCCGCTAATACGGTCATTTCAAATTATGACCAAAACTCGCTATACGGCTCCCCCCACCTGACTTTCTAATACGGTCACTGTGCCCCACCTTGTTTGTTTACATTCTTCGTGAGCTCAGTAAGCACTAAGTCTCTCCATTTTGTCTGGAAACTCCAAAATTTCAAATGTTTTTAAAAGTTATTTCATATTTTATATATACTCTGATAATTATACTTATGTATACCTGTACTTAAATAAACTTACATACTGTGCTGGCATGCAGGTACACATTAAAATCAGTAAGAGTGTCTTATGTCTCCAGACGTCATATTAGTAATGATAATAATAATCATCGTCTCATTTAAATGTCGTATATTACGTTAAATACACATTTTCATTAATCCATCTATGATATTTTTTCAAAATTATATAATAAACACGATACATAACATAAAAAGATGATAAATACACCCCACAATAGAATAAATAAACATAAATATGAGATGTGGTAGCAGACGACTTGTACAAGTGACGCCATATTAGAAATGCTAATAATAATAATAATAATCACCGAGTCTTATTAAATGTTGTATATTACGTTAATATACACATTTTCATTAATCCATCCATGATATTTTTTCAAAATTATATAATAAACACGATACATAACATAAAAAGATGATAAATACACCCTACAATAGAATAAACATAAATATGAGATGTCGTAGCCAGATAACTTGTACAAGTGATGCCAAGAATAACATTTTCTCTAATCTAACATAAGAAAAAATGTGTTACTGGGGGTAACTGTAGAAAATTATTCCTTTCGTATGTATGTAAGTAAGTTTATTCAAGTATACACAAATACAGTTACATAGATTATCATACATAACAACATATGTGTAGAGAACCTAGGATAACCCAAAAAAGTCAGAGTGACTTATTTCCATTGCCTTCACTCAGAGCATCATTTCTTCTTAAAATGATGTTACATGAGAATGGGAGTGTTCTTCTTTATTTATTCTACCGTATCAATGTAGAGACAACCTGTACACAATGTAACTTGTACACAAACCAGACGCATACACTTCGTTTACAAAACTTACCTTCGCCTGGTTTGTTTACATAACTCTGCGCCTGTCCTCTCTCATGCACTCATTCTTTCTCTCTCTCATTTATTTGTTTTATCTCATTTACTTACTCCTGACCCTACATTAAGACTACAAATATTTTAAGGTAAGTAATGAGTGAACTGTATATACATTTTATCGCTCTGGGATGCTTAAATATCATGGAATATATGTGTGGGTGGGTTGGCCTGGTATGGTAGCCCGGCTGACTACCATACATACCACACTTGATTTTTTACAATAAATACTACTCATCTCACCCTATATTTTAAGGTAAGTAATGAGTGAACTGTATATACATTTTATCGCTCTGGGATGCTTAAATATCATAGAATTGTATGTGTGGGTGGGGTGGCCTGGTATGGTAGCCCGGCTGACTACCATACATACCACACTTGATTTTTTACAATAAATACTACTCATCTCACCCTATATTTTAAGGTAAGTAATGAGTGAACTGTATATACATTTTATCGCTCTGGGATGCTTAAATATCATAGAATAGTATGTGTGGGTGGGTTGGCCTGGTATGGTAGCCTGGCTGACTACCATACATACCACACTTGATATTTTACAATAAATACTACTCATCTCACCCTATATTTTAAGGTAAGTAATGAGTGAACTGTATATACATTTTATCGCTCTGGGATGCTTAAATATCATAGAATTGTATGTGTGGGTGGGGTGGCCTGGTATGGTAGCCTGGCTGACTACCATACATACCACACTTGATTTTTTACAATAAATACTACTCATCTCACCCTATATTTTAAGGTAAGTAATGAGTGAACTGTATATACATTTTATCGCTCTGGGATGCTTAAATATCATAGAATTGTATGTGTGGGTGGGGTGGCCTGGTATGGTAGCCCGGCTGACTACCATACATACCACACTTGATTTCTTACAATAAATACTACTTGTCTCACCCTAGATTAAGACTATAAATATTTTAAGGTAAGTAATGAGTGCACTATGTGTGTATTGTACTTTTTATTTTTTTTTGATGCCTGGTTCTATTGCTAACTTAATATATGTTAGTGTAAACTTGTTATCTAGTGTTTGTATGCATTTGTAAGTGGAAAAAAAGGGTGTTCCACTTTACGGCGGTTTCCGCTTTACGGCGGTAGCCTGGAACCTAACCAGCCGTATAAGTGGGGCCTTCCTGTATATGGAATAGGTAGTAAGTTACTAAATGCTGTAAAGAGTTTTTATGACGATAGTGAGGCTCAGGTTAGGGTGTGTAGAAGAGAGGGAAATTACTTCCCAGTAAAAGTAGGTCTTAGACAGAGATGTGTAATGTCACCATGGTTGTTTATTATTTTTATAGATGGGATTGTAAAAGAAGTAAATGCTAGGGTGTTGGGGAGAGGGGTGGGATTAAATTATGGGGAATCAAATATAAAATGGGAGTTGACACCATTACTTTTTGCTGATGATACTGTGCTTATGGAAGATTCTAAAGAAAAATTGCTAAGGTTAGTGGAAGAGTTTGGAAGAGTGTGTAAAGGTAGAAAGTTGAAAGTGAACATAGAAAAGAGTAAGGTGATGAGGGTATCAAATGATTTAGATAAAGAAAAATTGGATATCAAATTGGAGAGAAGGAGTATGGAAGAAGTGAATGTTTTCAGATATTTTGGAGTTGACGTGTCAGCAGATGGATTTATGAAGGATGAGGTTAACCATAGAATTGATGAAAGAAAAAGGTGAGTGGTGCATTTAGGTATATGTGGAGACAAAAAACGTTATCTGTGGGGGCAAAGAAAGGAATGTATGAAAGTATAGTGGTACCAACACTCTTATATGGGTGTGAAACTTGGGTTGTAAATGCTGCAGCAAGGAGGCAGTTGGAGGCAGTGGAAATGTCCTGTCTAAGGGCAATGTGTGGTGTAAATATTATGCAGAGAATTCGGAGTGTGGAAATTAGGAGGTGTGGAGTTAATAAAAGTATTAGTCAGAGGGCTGAAGAGGGGTTGTTGAGGTGGTTTGGTCATTTAGAGAGAATGGGTCAAAGTAGAATGACATGGAGAGAGTATAAATCTGTAGGGGAAGGAAGGCGGGGTAAGTGTCCTCGGAAAGGTTGGAGGGAGGGGGGTAAAGGAGTTTTTTTGAGCGAGGGGCTTGGACTTCCAGCAAGCGTGCGTGAGCGTGTTAGATATGAGTGAATTAAGACGAATGGTATTTGGAACCTGACGAGCTCTTGGGGTGTGAGCAGGGTAATGTTTAGTGAAGGGATTCAGGGAAACCGGTTATTTTTATATAGCCAGACTTGAGTCCTGGACATGGGAAGTACAATGCCTGCACTTTAAAGGAGTGGTTTTGGGATATTGGCAGTTTGGAGGGATATGTTGTATATCTTTATACGTATATGCTTCTAAACTGTTGTATTCTGGGCACCTCTGCAAAAACAGTGATTATGTATGAGTGAGGTGAAAGTGTTGAATGATGATGAAAGTATTTTCTTTCTTTTTGGGTCACCCTGCCTCGGTGGGAGATTGTTGTCATGTTGACCAAAAAAAAAAAAAAAAAAAAAAAAAAAAGAAACAAGTAATGGAATAGATGCAGAAATAGTGTGAAAAATATGACCCATTCTTTATGGCATGTGGTAATGCTTTAGTGAAGATGAAAACTAGAAAAAATTAAATACTTTTGAACTTAATACAAAAATATGTAACATATCATAATAAAAAGAAATGAAATTAAGGTGGTTGAAGATATTTTATTGAGATTATTATGACATTTTCCTTTTTGTGGATTATATTTTTACTAAAGCTCATTTATTTTTCAGTGTGTGATCCTCTAAGACTTCTGCAAGCTGTTGTGACCAAGCCGAACATTTTGCAGTGAGTTGCAGACACAGCTTAATCTAATATCACCACTGAGTCAAACTAAGTTTTTTAGTGGATGATGGTTTCTGAAGATCAGAGACTCGAGAAAATAACTTTCTTAATAAAATTCCTGCTTGAAAGGGATTTGGATAAAAATTTTCTCTTTCCTAGTCTAATTACACACATACATATATATATAGATATATATTATATTTTTTTTTCTAAATCAGGAAGCTTCATTTTATTTAAATATATAAAATTAAAAATCATATCACTCACATTCTTGTATTCTGGGTAGCTCCTTGCTAGCGAAGAAAGATTTCCTCAATATGTTTAGTGCTACATTTTCACACTTCAGAAATATTCACTGATAAGATGAGTTTTTCATTTTTATTATATGGCTTATTAGTGTTATTCTTTTGCAGTACTAATTGGTATTTACCTATTCTTCATTTTACTCTTATTCAACTTGCTATGCAATTTCTCCTTTATGGTACTAAATCATTGTTTTTAATTACACAATTTGCAGTGTTATCCTATTTTTATATGTTCTCCACTTTTCATATTTTCTGTTTGTAAATTATTCTTTAATGTTGCACACTATACAGAACACAGGAGGACCACCCAGTAGAAAGAAAAAGAACATAGAGTCCTGGGTGTAATAATGTCCATTGAGTTATCATTTAGGGAACACAAAGCAAATGTTGCAGAAGTCAGGAAATGATGGGGGTAAATAATCAAGACTTTCAAAATGAGAAATAATGTCAATGGTGATACTGTTCAAATTACTTGTGCTCATCCAGAGTACTTTTCAGTAGTGATGATTGCATTCAAGGCAGGAGAATTATTGGAGCTTCATTTGAACTGCAGGAATGCCTGAAAGTACTGAATATATCCTCTGGGGCAGAAGAGGGAGAGGTACATGGTGCAGTAATATATACATGGAAGATACTTGAACTGGGCCTAAACCCAAACCAACACACTTTGTTAACAGTGTAGTGGAGAGACATGGGAGGAAATGTAAAATAAATCTGTTGAAAAGCAGGGGTGTCAGCATATACAGTAGGGCCCCACTTATACGGCAGGTTCCCTCTTCAAGGGGGGCTCCTTGGCGTGGTGAAGAGGCTCTTGGTCTGAGGAATTAGACCTGTCGGTCTACTTCCTCAGACCGAACCTAATTACCCCCCAATCCCCCGTTCCCTATCCCATCCTCCCCTTTTTCCTTTCCTCCTCCTCCTCCCCACCCCTCCCTTTTGCCCTTCCTTTTTGGCCTTTTTTTTTTTTTTTTTTTTTTTTTCCACAGGCACGCTAGTTCCTAGGTGGGGGAAAAGGGAAACCGGGGTTTTCCTTTCCCATTCCGTTGGGGTTCTTGTGGTGGCGTAGTTTGCCGTGGAATCGGGAATTGCCTGGGGATGTCCTGATCCCTCTCCGGTATCTCGGAGGGTGGCTTCGGGTGTCTCTCGGGCGACGGGTGTATCTCTGGAAGCCACCTTTTGGATTCCGGGGTGGTGGCCAAAGGAGGTATGCTTTCTGGCGGATTTCCGGCCGCCCTCTCTTTTGTCCACCGAGGTACTGGGCAGATGGGGGTTTTGCTATCCTGGATTGCCGGTTTACTGGCATGATGGGTGGGTATGGAAACGTGTTCCATGCTGCATCTGCGCTACTTGCGGTGCTGAGGTCCTTCTTGGGCGCGGAGGGAGATTTCTGGCCCTTTCATTCCTCCTGGGAAACATCCCTCCCCGGTCCCCCCTTTTTTTATTCTTTTTTTTTTTTTATTTCTTTTCTTCTTTCTTTTTTTTCTTAAAAACAAAAAGAAAGAAGTAACCTAACCAGGCAGCCCTAGTCCATGAAAACCCGCTACCCCCGGGGCCCCCTTTTTGATACCGCACCCCGTTCTGACCCCGCCTCGTCTTTGGACCACTCTTCGGACACTCCTCATGCCTCTGTACCTCTTTTCCCGGGGCTGTTTTTCCCCAACCCGCTTCAGGGACTGAGGCCTCGACTGACTCCTTCGATTTATCTGACCTTTGCTCTCCTCTGACTATGCTTCCGGCCTCTCCCCCTACGGGGCGGCAATTTTCGAATTGCCGGCCCGTTCCCCCGTCGGACCAACTCTGGTCCCACGCCTAAACGACAACGACAATTACCTGCTGATGATACTTCTCCACCTTCCCCGTTCTTCTCAGAAAAGATCGACACGTCCTTCACTACCTTTCACGCTCAGTTTCAGACTGCACAATGGACTAAATTCTTCACTTAAAGACCGACTTCCTCTACTGCCTATCTTTCTGACCACAGTATTGACAAGGCACTCCTACGCCATGTTGGTAAAGATATTTCTTTTCATGCTCTTAAGAGCGGTACGCGCATCGTCACCGTACAGAATGCTACCCAGCTCAGAGCTTTCTCGTCTTTCCCATATCGAACTGTTCCTGTAACTATTGAAACATCATTCCCTCAATTCTTGTAAATGGTACCATCATTCTGCCCCATACCATAGTTCAACAAAATTTCCAGACATGTGGCACTGACATTCTTGAACAGCTGGAACTCCAAGATCTCCCAATCCTCAAGGTAGACACTTACGTTCTTCCTGCCCGCGGGCGGAGACGATACCCTAGCAATGTGGCTCGTTTAACTTTTGACAACCGTGAACTCCCATCCTCAGTTTATGTAGCAGGACATCGGTTACAAGTTGAAAGGTGATCCCTACACCGCAACAGTGTAGAAATTGCTGGCGATTTGGCCATCCAGCGAAATATTGCAGATCTATCGCCGAATGCCCAGTCTGTGGTGCCGATCCTCTTCAAGGGGGGCTCCTTGGCGTGGTGAAGAGGCTCTTGGTCTGAGGAATTAGCCCTATCGGTCTTCTTCCTCAGACCGAACCTAATTCCCCCCCCAATTTCTCCCCTCCCCTACCCATCCCCCCCTTCCCCCCCTTTTCCTTTCCCTCCTCCTCCCCACCCTCCTTTTGCCCTTCCCTTTTTGTCCTTTGGGTTTTCTCCACGGGCCCGGCTAGTTCCTAGTAGGGAAAAGGACCCCGGGGGCCCATCCCATTCCTTGAGGTTTTTGGGCGGTGGCGTAGTTTGGTGGAAAAATGGATTCCTGGGGAGTCCCGCCCCCCCGGGTATCCCGAGTATTTTTGGGTGTCTTTTGGGGAGGGGTGTAGTTTCTGGAAGCCACCTTTCGGTTTTCCGGGGGGTGGGGGCTAAAGGGGGGTTGCTTTTGGGGGATATCCGGCCGCCCTCTCTTTTGTCCCCGAGGTAGCTCGGCAGATGTGGGGTTTGCTATCCCTTTTGGGGGTTTACTGGATGAAGGAAAGGGGTAGGGCCGGGTTCCATGCGCCTCCTCTAGCGTTCGACCCTTTTGGGGCGCGGAGGGAGTTTTTGGCCCTTTAAACCCTCCTAGGAACTACCCCTCCCCGGTCCCCCCTTTTTTTTTTTTTTTTTTTTTTTTTTCTTTTCTTCTTTCTTTTTTTTTTTAAAAAAAAAGGGAAAAACCTAACCGGGAACCCCTAGTCCATGAACCTGGTACCCCGGGGGCCCCTTCTTGTACCGCACCCCGTTCGCCCCCGCCTCGTTTTTGGACCATCTTCAACTTCCTCATCCTCTTACCTATTGCGTGCTGTTTCCTCACCCCTTCGGGTACTGGGGCCTCGACTGATCCTTCGATTTACAACCTTCGCTCTCCCTGACTATCCCCTTCCGGCCTTCCTCTACGGTGCGGCAATTTCAAATCCCCGACCCGTTCCCCCCGTGGGACCAACTTGGCCCCACCCCCTAAACGTCAACGAAATTACCTCTGATGATACTTCTCCACCTTCCCTTCTCTTTTCTTCTCAAAAACGATCGACACCTTCACTACCTTTCCACGCTCAGTTTCAACGAACGTGGACAAATTTTCTTCACTTTACGCCCAAAAATTCCTCATCCCTATCTTTTGACCATAGATTGGCAAGGGCACCCTACGCCATGTTGGTAAAAAAATTTTTTTTTCATGTCTTAGAGGGGTACGCGCACAACCGTCAGAAGTACCCAGCCTCGTGAGTTTCTTCGTCTTACCCATTTTAATACTTTTTCCTGTCACCCTTAAAAAACTCATTCCCTCAATTCTTGAGGGTACCGTTATTCGCCCCAACCATAGTTCAACAAAATTTCCAGACAGGGGCACCGACATTTAGAACACGGGAACTCAAGATCCCCATCCTCAAGGTAGACATTTACGTTTTTCCTGCCCGGGGCGGAGAATACCTAGAATGGGGCCCTTTTTTAACTTTTAAACGCCGAGAACTCCCATCCTCCTTTTATATAGCAGGACATGGGTTAAAATTTAAAAGGTGATCCCCACCACAACAGTGTAGAAATTGTGCGTTTTTGGCCTCCGGAAATATTGCAGTCTATCGCCGATGCCCATCTGGTGCCGATGCCCTTTTTTAAATATTGCAATCGATCTCCCTCTTGCCTTAACTGTCATGGGGCTCCCCTTCGTACTCTCGCCGTTTCAGGTCATTTAAACGAGGGGAAATCGTTACCTCAAAGAGACAAAGGGTCTCCCTTATGCCATGGCAGTTTCTCATCTCCGCCTCCAAAGACCCCACGGTTTCTTTTCCCGTTTTCAAAACGCCCCCCCCTTCGGGTACCTCTTCTACACCCACCTCTGGGGTTACCTCTCCCATAATCACTCCGTATCAAATTTTCTTTTGCTGCCCCCGCTCAGAGCCCCTATTTCAACCCTCATCTAATCTGCTTTTTCATTCTCTTTTACAAGCCCAACGACGAGCCTCGTACGACACCTCTTCCCAATCGTCCCTCACTTCCAAAATTCAAAAAAAGGCCCGGAAACCCCTCCAAACCCATCTTCCCCCTCCTCATTTACCCTCCCGTCTCTGTCCCTAGTTCTTCCCTTCACTGGCTCATTTAAAGTGAAGGTTCACCCTCCCCCCGAAGTCCCTTTCCTCCCCGTTCCCCCCCAAGTTTTTTCCTCTTTTTCCCACCTCCCGGTCCGGGGCCTTTGTCCCCTCCACGTTTCTCCATTTCCCCCCCCCTTTCCCCCCCCCCCTCCCTTTGGGACAGTCCAATACATTTCCAATTTTTAAACCATCCCCCCCTACCATTCCCAATATTGTCTCCCATACGCATCTCTAAATTTCCCGAAACATTGAAAAATCTCTGAATTTTTGCAGAGACCAAACCATAAATGGACATGATCCACCTTCCGCTTTTCCCTTTTCCCCTCTCCCCCATCCGAAACTCCTTTTTTCACAGGCAAGTTCCTTCCTGCTTGAACTTTTCCATCCTCCGCATGTGGCTTTTCAAACCCTTTTCTAGCCCGTAGGAACCCAACCTGCGGATTTCAAAAATTTTATCATTGCAATCATGCCTTTTTACAGTGGAATATACGCGGCCTGGGGGGTTAATGGGGGTGACTTCAATTTACTCTCCCAGTTTGCCCCTGTTGGTGTTTGCTTACGGGAACCCAAAAATTTACACTCTGCTTTTATTTCCACATCTCAGCTATAATTTATTGTATTCTTCAGTTTTTTCCTGATGGGACTTTAATAAAAGGCCCTTCTTTCCGCACTGATTTTCCGCCCATCAGCTATTTGTTCAACTTCGCTGCATTAACAGCACCCGACCATTACATAGGGATCCCTGTTCTTTAATCTCTCTCCTTTCTCGGGCTTTATCTTTTCCCGGATTTTCCTTTCCCTTGTTTCGCATTACCGCCACCGTTTCTTTATTTTGGTGATTTTAATCCCCACCATTTCCTCGGGGGAGGGCTCCCTGTGATTCCCGGGAATTCGTTAGAGGCTTTTTTCCCAAACCCACCCCCCCCAGTTTTAAATACAGGTACTCACACCCATTTTGTCCTGGGACTCATACTCTCTCTTGCATCGATCTCTCATTTGCTCTTCCTCCGCCGCTTTAGTTTATTGGGCTTTCTCCCGGGCTTACATGACATGATCATTTCCCAAATTCTTACTTCCCTTCATATTCCCCCACCTCTTTGCCCCCCACGTGGCAATTTAATTTGGGCAAATTGGAACCTTTTCTCACACCTACGTTTTTAAAAAGGTTCCTT